CCTGATTGTAATCCTGATTGTAATCCTGATTGTAATCCTAATTGTAATCTCAATCTCAATCTTTATTTATTTATATAGCACATTTAAAACAACCTTCAGTTGACCAAAGTGCTGTACAGGCAATAAATATTAAATAACACAATGGGAGTACAATAATAAAACAATAATTAAAAACATGATAAAAAGCACAATAACTAGAAAATTATTTTAAAAAACACATACAAATGTAAAAATGTAATGTTCATCTAGTATTAAAAGCCAGTGCAAAGAGGTGAGTTTTTAGCTGAGATTTAAAAAGTTCAATAGACTCAGCAGTCCGGATATGTACTGGGAGGCTGTTCCACAGTCTGGGAGCTGCAACACTGAAAGCCCTGTCACCACATAACCACCAACGAGGAACCACCAACATATATAAGTAATCCTAATTGTATTGTGAAAACTATGTGTGAGGTGAGAGAGGGTGAGCTAAATTGAGGAGGGACTTAATATTGATGTTTTTTTGTTAATCCTATCTGAATTACTGGAAACCCTGAGTACCAGGAAAAAACCATACATGAGAAAAAGGTGAAGGGAGGAGGCGGGTGAGGTAGGAGGAAGGAGGTGAGGGAAATGGAGGAGGAAGAGGAGGAGGAAGAGGGAGTTACTGTTGTCCAGCCGGAGCTGAATCACCAGCCTCCATCTTCTCAGTCTCCTTTGAGGCACTGTTTCTCCCCTCAGCTTCCTCCCTCTTTGATTTCTTCCTCATCTCCTTCTCTACCATCTTGCTCTTCATCTTCTGCAAGGTGACGTCTCTGTCCTCAGTGTCCCTCCTGCGGGAGAAGAAACCTCTGCTCTGGTTCTTCATGTGAAGACAGAGGTCCTCCAGTAGTTTCTTCTCCTCCTCCATCTGTTCCTCCTTGGCCTCCCAGCTCAGTTGTCCCTGAGCCAGGTCGTCCCTCTGCTCCTCCACCTGTTTCCATCGTGTCTCCGTCAGATGAACCTTGGTCTCCCAGATCTCTTGGTTCTGGGCCAGGTCTTTGGAGAACATCTTCTTCTGCTCATCCAATTGGTTCTCCATCTGCTTCACCTGCCTCTCCTTCAGTTGGACTTCGCTCTCCAGGTTCTGGTTCTTCTTGGCCGAGTCCTTTTCCTCATCCTCTGCCTTTCTTAATTTCGTCTCCACCTCTTTCAGATCCTTCTCTCTGCTCTGGTGTTTCTGAGCCAGGTCGTTCTTCTCCTGGGTCACTTCTTTTAATTTGATCTCCACCAAATTAACCTTGGCTTCCCAGCTCTCTTGGTTCTGGGCCAGATCTTTGGAGAACATTTCCTCCTGCTCTTCCAACTTGTTCTCGAACTGCTTGACAAGCTTCTCGTTCTGTTGGACAAGCAGCTCCCAGCTCAGCTGTTTCTCAGCCAGGTCTTTGGAGAACCTTTCCTTCTGTTCATCCAAACCGTTCACCAACTGCTTGACTCGTCCGTCCTTCAGTTGGACTTCGCTCTCCAGGCTCAGGTTTTTCTTGGCAGAGTCCTTTTTCTCATCCTCTGCCATTTTTAATTCAGCCTGAACCTCTTTCAGATCCTTCTCCCTGCTCTGGTGTTTCTGAGCCAGGTCGTCCTTCTCCTGAGTCACTTCTTTTAATTTGATCTCCACCAAATTAACCTTGGCTTCCCAGCTCTCCTGGTTCTGGGCCAGATCTTTGGAGAACATCTCTTCCTGCTCTCTCATCTGGTCCTTCAGCTGTTTGACATCCGTCTCGCAGCTCTTGTTTTTCTTGGCCAGGTCATTTTTCTGCTTCTCCACCCGTTTGAGTGTAGCCTCCAGCTGTTGAAACTCAGTCTCCCTGTTCAGGTTTTTCCTGTCCAGGTCGTTCTTCTCCTGAGTCACTTCTTCGTATTTCTTCTCCATCTGTAGTTTCTCACTCTCCCAGATGTCGTGTTTCTCTGCCAGGTTCTTGGTGAACTCTTCCTCGTACTGAAGGAGTTGTTCTTCTCTTTTCTGCAGCAGGTTTGAGTTCACCAGGTTGACCTCGTTGTTCTGGTCTGAGAGCTTCTGTTGCTGTGCCACCATGTCGTCCAGCTGCTGCTTGTGTTGAATCTCTGCAGCTTCCATCTGCTCCTTCAGACGTGAGATGTCTGCCACACGGTACTGGATGATGTTAAAGAGCCTTTTATTGTCTTGGTCAAACCTTGAGTTCCTGTTACTCAGGAGGTCCTCAAGACGTTTGACGTTGTCTTTTTCTTTGCGCATCCTGTGGCCAAAGCCAGCCCTCTCCTCCCCTAAAGCCATGTGAAACTCATCCAGGCCGTATATCCATCCATTTCTGCAGTGGATCTGCCTGTAAGCATGATCAGCTTCAGCTCCATGGTCAAAGTGCCTGGGGTTTCCCCTCTCGTTCTGGTTGGTTCTTCTATCCATGGCACAGTCTGTATTCTTGTGTTGTGCGTAGGTACAAATTATCTGTGTGTCCGTGGAAGAAGTTGTCTGTCTAGAAGACTGTGAAGGTTGTCTGAATGCGTCTATCACTAAACGATCTGGAGTGAAGATTGAATACAGATCAGGTCTCTCTTACTATTGAGAGACAGAGAGTTCCGGAACACACACCAAAGCCACCTGTGATTATCATGATGACGTAGTGATGATGTCATCTCGTATGTGAGGCTGTCATTCCAGTGATGTCACACACACACACCTGCATGCAATCACCAACACAATACAACTACAACTCCCAGCATGCTTAGCGGCAGGAAACTACAAATGGTAAAAGGGAAAGTGCGGTTGATTTTTCCCACTTTGTGACTTTATAAGCAGAATAAATCTTTGTGTTTCAAATGTTTTACCGATACTAGTCGCCAAATTTGATGTCTCGTCATATAGCGTTTCCATGGCAACGCATTCCTCGCCTCATGATATCGCTGTAACTCAAAGGAAAATGTTCTGATCGCCACCAATCTTCACGTGTATTTTTTATTGACATTTGGCAGCGAACAATTACAGTGTTTTACATATTATACATATATACAGATTTAATAAATATTTGTCAAGAGTAAAGGGTTTTAAATGATATGAATGAAATGGGAGTCGGGGTGTTTGTTTGTTTTTGGTTCAGGTCACAGTCGAGTCAAAGAGGCCCTGATAGGATGACTTTCATCATCATATCCTCTGTGTGTGTGTGTGTGTGTGTGTGTGTGTGTGTGTGTGTGTGTGTGTGTGTGTGTGTGTGTGTGTGTGTGTGTGTGTGTGTGTGTGTGTGTGTGTGTGTGTGTGTGTGTGTGTGTGTGTGTGTGTGTGTGTGTGTGTGTGTGTGTGTGTGTGTGTGTGTGTGTGTGTGTGTGTGTGTGATGTGGCTGGTCAGACTTGGGTAAAGCTTAATACACTGGTTTTGGCCCCTCAGACACTTTTATCCCCGATACAGACACTATGCATTTTTCCAGTCATGGTTATCCTGCTTTAAATTATTCACAATATTAACCCAGTAATTGTCAAAATATGCTTACACAATGCCACTTAAGCACTTGAAGTAACTTTGCATTTAATTTAGCTGGGTTTATGGTTCAAACAGGACCTTGAAATCCACAAAAGTTTCAACACGTTTAGAGAAACATTCAAACAGTTCTTGAAAAAGACTTAATTTGTTTTACTTATCATTAACAAATAGACTACACTTCACTGTCAACATGTTTATAGTTCATTCCTGTGGTGGATTTTTTAAATTTGTATCAGGAAAATGTATATAGCAGTGACATAAACACAAGGAACTCATCTGAAAATAAGGCCAGCATCTTAAATACTGAACATTTGACATTAGGGAAAAATGGTCTTTGATTTATCCCAGACCACGATAAAAAAAATCCTGTGTGTGTGTGTGTGTGTGTGTGTGTGTGTGTGTGTGTGTGTGTGTGTGTGTGTGTGTGTGTGTGTGTGTGTGTGTGTGTGTGTGTGTGTGTGTGTGTGTTATCTCCCAGTCTGCAGGTGCAAGGCTGAATCTGGGAGGCTGCTCACTTTAACATCGTAGTCAAACAAACATCTCTTTTGTCATCGCTGACAGCGCCTGCACGTCCTCAAAATCCCCCGTTTAAATGACTTATGATGTGTCATTTCATTTAGCCGACGCCCATTTACAATGTGTGCAATTGAAGATACAAACTCAAAACAGCAAATGTACAGTGGCTTTCTGTTTGCCAAGTAACATATGTACACTTTCTTCTGTCCTGATGTCGATGGGGAACAAATGGTTTCACCATTTTGGAGCTCGGATAGCAATAGTCGTGTTTTTGTTGAGGAGTAACTGGGTCTAACTCACAGTGAGGGAGCAGCAAGCTGTACACTGCTCTCTTAGTACACTGCCATTTCATGCACGGTGATTTGTGTGTGAATTGTTGACTGTGTAGCGTGTCTAAGATCACACATAGCCGCTCTCACTGGAAGTCACAATTGCCGGCATCAGCGAGCTACCTAGCAATTTGTGTGTGTGTTGTAGCAAATCATTAAAGACTGCTTAATTAACCCCAACAAAATAACGGTGGCAAGTATGGTAGTATGTTTATTTAATGTAACCTAATGTTAAGTAGCCAAGATGAGGATGAGAAGCACTTTTTGACCATACTCATAGTGCTTTACATGTATATTTAAAATGTTTTGCTTTGGGAGACACGTTGGCCCTTACATTTGGGTACAGAAGTACTTGATTCCAGAAGCAGAATTCCTTTATTAGTCCCGTACAGCGTTGCAGAAAAAGTGACATGGCAGATAAAAGGCAAGCCATAACAAAAGTAGCTAACATAATATTTAAGATACATCATATGTTTGAATCATTTCCTGGATGTGAGAAGGGCCGGATGCATTCACAGCCATAAGGCCAGTACGAGGGTCTTAATAATAATAATACTAATAATAATACATGACACTTATATAGAGCTTTTCTAGAAACTCAAAGACGCAAAGTGGATTCGGGCAGGAAAGGGAGTCGTTGTAATGTTATTTGATGTCGTCCTAACTCTGTGTTTCTGCCTGCTGTGTTCAGATGGTGCTCCTGGCTCGCTGCGAGGGTCACTGCAGCCGCTCCACACGCTCAGACCCGCTCATCTCCTTCAGCTCGGTGCTCAAACAGCCCTTCAAGAGCACCTGCTCCTGCTGCAGACCCCACTCCTCCAAGCTGAAGGCGGTGAGGCTGCGCTGCTCCGGAGGAACAAGGATCACAGCAACGTACAGATACATCCTCGCATGCAACTGTGAGGAGTGCAGCTGAGAAACTCTCAAACCATTCCTCTGTTGGCCTCGAGACTCAAAGCTGTCTGGAGATCTTTGGATTGGAAAAGAATCAGCAGATCGGCTCGAAACGCTATCTTGGGAGTTTGGATAGTGACCTATAAAACTGACCTGAGACTCAGAACCCTCTTTACCCTCTGCATTATTATCACTTTGTTGGTCTGTTTTCATGGTGTTCGATTGTCGATTTGAAAATACCAGAAGGAGCAAGTTGTGCACAGATTGAACTACAAAACTAATCAGTCCAATATATAAATCGGGGAATCGACGGCGGTTTGGATACCAGAGAAACACATCCTTTACTCAAGTAGAAGTACAGATACTCGTGTTTAAAAATACTCTGGTAAAAGTAGAAGTACTGACTAAACTTCTTTACTCAAGTAAAAGTAAAGAGGGCTTTGAAATGTACTTCAGTAAAAAGTACCCATAACTAGCAGCTGTTTTAAAGAGTACCTGACCTCCCTTTATATTAATAGAACAATAATGTCATTGTTAGCTAATGAATGTTTCCATGCTGAACAACGGCAACATGACAACGTTTTCATTGGTCCCTTCTTCTTTAGAGAAGACCAGGAAATGATGGATACACGGATCGTGTTCAAATCAATAGGCACGCAATGACTCTAAAGAATAATGATCACGCCACCAGACACACATTCAAACTAAAGGAACCAGCCTGTTTGGAAAATGAGAGAAGTAGAAAGTACAGGTATTTGGGTTCAACATGTAAGAAGTAGAAAGTACAGGTATTTGGGTTCAACATGTAAGAAGTAGAAAGTACAGGTATTTGTGTTCAACATGTAAGAAGTAGAAAGTACAGGTATTTGAGTTTAACATGTAAGAAGTAGAAAGTACAGGTATTTGGGTTCAACATGTAAGAAGTAGAAAGTACAGGTATTTGAGTTCAACATGTAAGAAGTAGAAAGTACAGGTATTTGGGTTCAACATGTAAGAAGTAGAAAGTACAGGTATTTGAGTTCAACATGTAAGAAGTAGAAAGTACAGGTATTTGAGTTCAACATGTAAGAAGTAGAAAGTACAGGTATTTGTGTTCAACATGTGAGAAGTAGAAAGTACAGGTATTTGAGTTCAACATGTAAGAAGTAGAAAGTACAGGTATTTGTGTTCAACATGTGAGAAGTAGAAAGTACAGGTATTTGTGTTCAAAATGTAAGAAGTCAAAGTAAAAAGTCGTCAGAAAAATAAGTAGTGGAGTAAAGTACTGATACCAGAAAGATGTACTTAAGTACAGTAACGAAGTATTTGTACTCCAATACTTCCCCCCTCTGATGATAATGACCTTTGAAACTGACCTGGGACTCAGAACACTCTTTACTCTCTGCATTATGTGCTTTCAATCACTTCTCCTACAAACTTTTGCTCCCAGGAGCTCTCCTCGCTCATTACAGGCCTCCATAATTCATAACACACATGTAACCGCAGTCTGAGAGCTCCTTACAACTATCTGTGCCATAAAGAAAACCCATCGTGCACCACGACGATCGTTAAAAAAAAGCAGCATGTGCGATTTCACCTGCGAGAAATCACCCAATAATGTTTTACACACTCCCTGCAGACTGTTATAAAACGTGAGTGAGGCTGACAGGTGAGGAAGAGGAGGAAGAGGAAGAGGAGGAAGGCTGGTCGTTTAAATGTAATCTATTCTATTTGTGATGTTTCCTGTACTACTTTATTGAAACTGTAGCTTCTGCCTGTCGTGTATCGTTACTGATGTTTTCACTCTCCTGTCAAAATACAGTCGCTCTTCAAACATATGGTTCATTCAGTGTGTGTGTGGTGTGTGTGTGTGTGTGTGTGTGTGTGTGTGTGTGTGTGTGTGTGTGTGTGTGTGTAGGGGTGTGTGTGTGTGGGTGTGTGTGTGTGTGTGTGTGTGTGTGTGTGTGTTGTGGTGCTGTGTTTGTTTTGTGTGTGTGTGTGTTTGGGTGTTTTGTTGTGTGTGTGTGTGTATGTGTGTGTGTGTGTGTGTGGTGTGTGTGTGGTGTTGTGTGTGTGGTGTGTGGTGTGTGTGTGTGTGGTGTGTGTGTGTTGTGTGTGTGTTGTGTGATGTGTGTGTTGTGTGTGTGTGGTGTGTGTGTGTTGTGTGTGTGTGATGTGTGTGTGTGTGGTGTGTGGGTTGGGTGTTGTGTGTGTGTGTGTGTGTGTGTGTGTGGCTGGAATACGTCTGAAAACATCAATGCTTGCTGTCCGTGTATCTGAATTAAAGGAAGAACAACTCACCAATTGTGGTTTCTTTTATCGTAAACACTTGTTTTTACAACACCACAAACATGTCGGCATGTATTTGGAATTTTCAGAAACTAATGTTGGGTTTTATGGGTAAAAAAGCCACTTTAATTTTGATTTCATGGTGTTGATTGTCAATTTGAAAAGAAGGAAAAAGTTTTGCACAAATTGAACTACAAAACTTTTGTCAAATATGACAAGGTCATGAAGGTCCCATGTCATGCTTTTCTAGTTATTACCCGTCCCCTTGTGTGTTATGTAGCTTTTTCTGCATGTAAACGGTGTGCAGAGTCACAAACCCTCAAAGTACACCCTTGGACCCATTGGTCCAAATGTACCAATCCGTGGAGCTCCTCACACACACACACTCTCTCTGCGACAAAACTGTGACGCGCTGGGGGGGGGGGTGCTAGTGGAGCCTCGCAGATGGGGGTGCTGCAGCCCCCTCAGCACCCCCCCCCCCCCCCCTCCCCCTCCCGCGTCCTTTCGCGATGTCTCGCTGTCTCGCAGACCCCACGCAGCAAGAAGGAAATGAACCCAGTAAGCCAGCTCACACTGTCCGCTCCTCACAGCAGAGAGCCCCGCAACGTCCCGCCAACACGGCACCCAGACCCCACGCAGCATTCTCCTCTGTTTGTCATTACTGGTGTCATTTTCTGGTTGCTAACAAACGCCATTGTAACATAATCACTGATGTTCCGCTGTAACGGTGGTGGACTCATCAGCACAGAGTGGGCGAGCTGACCAATCAGAGCACACTGGGCTCACAGGGACGGGGCGGGGGCGGGCAGGAGCTCCAACAAGCCGTGTAGGACAGAGAGTGAATACACATACTATACAGAGATGCTGTATGAGAAACCAATGTGAGTTTGGAACATTGAACAATGTAAATCTATTCTAGTAGACCTCAACAATGGAATTATGATCAGTAGAAATGGCCATGACATGGGACCTTTAAGTAATTTTCAAATCGCTCCAACTCTTAACGATAAAAACCATGAACTACATGGAGAGATAATGCTAATAATTTGAAAGCCTTAACATCAAAAATGGGGTTTGATTTGACTTGTTTGACTTAAGTAAAGTCAAATGGCAATTGTATGTTGTGCTAACTAATATTAATTAAGTTCAGAACACTATCGCTCGAGTTTAAGAAAATAAAAGTCAGAAATAGAGTACCTGATAGTCTACTTTAGATGTCCTCCTGACTTTGTGTTCAATTACTACAACTACTACTACTAATCAGCATTACATTCATAAAAAGATAAAGCAAATATGTTATCAATGTCCACTTTAAGTGACATAAAAACATACTTTTTTACACCCAAACCACACATTTTTCTTTCCTTAGCCTAACCAAGTATTTCTGTTTCATGTAACTAAATGTCTGTTTGTTTTTGAACACATTACTTGCCACCACATGTAGGCTAAGACATGTAGATTGTGGTCATTTCACGTAAGAAAATCCTTAGAATTATAACTAAAAGTATTCACTAGTTGTTCATTTCCACTAAGAAATGTGACTTATTTGAGTACATTTTTATTATAACGGCGTTTCTTCACTTCCAGAGGGTTTTTACCTGGAGCTAAACATGAAAAATAAAGTTTATTTGATGATTAAAAGTTAAATAAAGATCATCAGGAGGTCATTCTTGTTTCTGCACTGATGAAAGTGTCAGTAGTGAAATCCTCGTCGTCTTGTAACGCGCTCACCTTCTTTAAAACCTGTCAGACACCAGCCTGCGGTACAATAAAGCTGCACGTAAAAAAAAGAGTGGAAACATAAAAGAAAGACCTGCTGACCCCGAGGAAGAATAAAAAACTGGATCTCCCTGTGAGGATTAATTAAACATCCCAATAAAAACCCTCCTCACAACGAGCGTGACACGAGGAGGAGGTTTGCAGTGTGTGTGTGTGTGTGTGTGTGTGTGTGTGTGTGTGTGTGTGTGTGTGTGTGTGTGTGTGTGTGTGTGTGTGTGTGTGTGTGTGTGTGTGTGTGTGTCCCATGTGTAACAGCTCAACTTGTCTGCAGACGATTCAATCCCACCGACGGCCGGCTGCTTCACACGTGAACTCAATAAAAAAACATTTTTCCTTCCACTCTGGAGATTAATCTGACTTTCTGAGCTGTCTCCTCTCCATGAGGCTCTCCTTTATCACACACACACACACACACACACACACACACACACAGACACACACACACACACACACACACACACACACACACACACACACACACACACACGCACACACACACACACACACACACACGCACACACACACACACACACACACACACACACACACACACACACACACACACACACACACACACACACACACACCTGCAGCTGCTTCAGTAAAACCTCAACCTTAATCAGTCAAACCTTCTGACTGATTAAAACATCACCTTGTGGCTTCACAAATCAGTTTCCTCTCTCTTTTTTCTCTCTCCTGGTTATTTATATATTTTGTTACTTCCCTTTGTAGCCCTCACTCAGACAAAGATGAAACTCAGCCACAAAACTCAGCCACAAAACTCAGCCACAACCAAAGGCGTCTTTCATCCTGGGGACGCTGGGAACACCACTTTGCCTTAGGATCATTTGTTACAAAAAAAGAATTGTACATTTTGAGAAAGCACAATAGATCATGTTCAATCTGGAGGACTGTTCTCACTTCCTGGGTGTATTTCTAACCCTTACTCTAACCCTAACCAAGTCTTCACCCTAAAATTAATGATTCCTCCATTATGTCCCCATAAGGGAGGCAAGTCCCCACACGTGACTGTGTAAACAGATTTACGTCCCCACAAGGATAGTAATGCTAGTAGGCCACACACACACGCGCACACGCGCACACACACACACACACACACACACACACACACACAGAGGAGGAATTGTGTGACATGAAGCAGGAGGTGTAATTATTTTGGGGAGCAGGCTGTCATTTGTATGAAACAAAGGCAAGTTTAATTATATATAAAGCACAGTTCAACGGAAATGTATTATAATATGACATTTAAAAGCCAGGAGATGAGAAATAAAACCAATATATATATTGTAATATACACATTTATTATTGTTAATTATTATAGTAAAATG